TAGAATTCAGTTTCTTGATAATGTATCAATAATATAAAATTAAATAACGAAAAGAAAATTTTATTCGGTATTTGTTCATTTTCTCTCATCTCTTGATAAGAAATTTAGAAATGACATAATCGAAGAAAATCAATTTGCAAAATTTCATCAGGAACCCAACAAATAGATACATCTACCGATAGAGATACAAGTATAATTTTTTTGTGAATTAAATATTAAATAATTATTAGATAAAATTAATAATTATTAAATAAAATTAAATAGTAGCATATTATAGGCTTTTGTTTTTGTTTCTACTATACTATATTATACACTCAATGCTATTCTTGTTTTGAAAACCTATGATAAAGTTTTTTTTTTAAATGTAAATTTTGTTATTATATAGATAATTTTCCTATTAATTTAAAATTTTTACTTTTTAAATTTTATCATTTTATAAATTCTTTATATGTTGACTTGCTTCATATATTATGATATTTATAATACTTATAAAGAGATATAAAAGGAATAAAATTTTTCATTATATAATCGATATTTCAATTTAATTGAAGTTTAAACTAAATCAAAGTTTTGCTGTATAAAAAATGAAATGTCAATAATTTGCATAGTAATTTATGTTAATTTAGTGCATTTAAAAATTAGTCTCGGAACATAATTTTATATAGAATGTATATAGAATAATGTATATAGAAAGAGTTAAAAGAATGTTTAATGATAATATAGATATATGCTACTACTTTAAATTTAATAATAACTTGAATAGTATTTAATATTATATAGTAATATTTAAATAGTATTTATTATTGAAAAAAAATTTATTTTAACGTAAAATTTTTAAATTATTAAGAAAAAAATTGATTTAATTTAACTTTTCATAAAAAATATAATATATCTAATATGAGATTCATTATAAATAGTATAAGAAATAATGCAGATAATATTAAAATATTATCATGTATAATATAATTTGTACAATATTTTTGTATAAAATACTAATAGTGTAGTAAATATTTTTTACACTTTACGATACATATTTACTTAATAATAAATGATATATATTTTATTCAGATTTCAAAGATTTGATTCTGTATATAAAAATTATTATAAAAAGATAAAAAATATTCGTAATTAATAGTATGTTTTAGTTTTAGGGAATAAATAATAATATTTAAGCGTATATTACATTAGTTGCTAATTTTATATAGTAATGAATCTGAAATTGAAAAAATTAAAAGACAATTGTATTAAATATAATTAGGATGGTGTGGACATGAGAATGAAATAGAGAGAGAGAGAGAGAGAGAGAAATATAGAGAGAAAGAATCATGGGTTTTGTTGGCAAATATATAGTATGAATGGAGTAACAAATAGGTGTAATTCTTCTTACAACCCCTAAGGAGTGTTTAATTTTGTTGATGTTGCCGATTATTTTTACTTATTTGATATATAACACTTGCTTAAAGATATTTTGTCTTACTTTTATATATTTATTTTTATTTTCTATAATTTCTACGTAATTTTATATTATTTTATATTATATTGTCTTACACAGAATTAATGTTGCAAATACATTTGTTCAGTTTCATTTAAGAAATAATTTTAAAAATATTGGTTCTTTATATCTTGTATAATAATTATTTAAATAATTACGATACAAAATATCATTTAATGTTGTATAATAAGAATTTGCAGTCCCATTTAGACCAACAAAGTTTTTAAACATTATACTTCTAGAAACTTTAAAATATTTAAAGATATGAAATTAAATTTCAATATCAATCTGTATATGCAAATAGTTTCGAATCTTTTAAAGCACATAAACTTTATAAACACGGAATATGAACATTATAACATTACTGAAACCCATGAAGCGAATGGCAAGGAAAAAAAGATAAGGAAATAAATGTACAATTGATCAGTTCACACATTACATGCAATTTCTACTTGAGTATAAATATACTTTGTGGAAAATACGCCTTTTTTTTTTTTTTTTTTAATGTATCGCATGAAGAACATGGGAGAGTTAGTGTCTCTAGCTAATTTAAAATAAAGAACGAGTACGTCAAAAAAGTCTAACGAAAAGTACCTGGCTGTTGATCTCGGTACCGAATCATCACAACGTTAGGATACATCATTATGGAATCCAATAAAGAGTATCAAGTCTTTTTCAATTTTTTTTCTTTATCCATTTTGATAAGTTGTCCTGAAAGCCTGGCCATAAATATTCGGCAACCGAATAATGATTTCGCATTGGCTCGTATCTAGGATTACTGATGTTGCCTTTACTGATACTACAAAATCTCGTAATGAAGGACACCCTCATTAATTAGTCGATAAATTATTCTTCGCATTTAAACTTATGAGACTTTCTTTTCTATATTTTACACGCACATACACGTATAATCACTCTCTTATACAAATCTATTCATCTGCCTTATGTTCCATTACTTTTCATTGCATTTTTGTATTTTCTGTATTCATTTTAATAAATGTTTTTTTCTAATTATTTATAAAATTTTTTATCTAGAAAAGTCATGGTCATGCTAAATTTTACGAAATGTAAGGAATATCAATGTATAAATAAATAAATGTACATAAGTGTAGTTTATTACATTTTACATTTTACTCCCGAAATTAAAAATGGAAGAAACTGTGGAGAAAAATGTAAATAATTGATCGCTTGCTTTATGAAATTATTTTTGAAAATAAATTAGTGCACACGATGAAATAATTATTATATGAATAAGGTCAAGAATGAATGAACTATTATAAATATTTGTGATAAATTTTACGAATTCTATTACTTCTTTTTCAATACATAATAATTTAAATAATACAAATTCTAGATAAAAAATGTATATTTATTTATTAAATTAATTATTTTATATTAAATAATATAAAATATAAATAACATAAAAATTAGATATATTCATTATTATATTAAATATAAAATAATATAATACATTATACAAGAAACGAGATAGTGACTTTTCTGTTACGAGTTAATCGATTTATTTTTAAAATTGTTAAATATAATATTTGATTACTATTTGAATATTGGATATATTAAAAAATATTTTATGTTGATTATGAAAATAAAAATAAATTAAAGATTACAACTATTGTTTTTATTTAATAATTATTCAATATTGCGTAAATATTAGTTTCCGTAACATAAATATTTATATTGTTTCGAATATTACGAAATTTATAAATAATATAAATGAAACAGTATATGAAATAAATAATTTTTTAATCATATGTATGTATATTTTCTTTTTTATTTGTATAACAAATATTATTAATAAATGTTGGATTAATAAATATTGAGAATATAATATTGATTTATAAGCTTTGTTTTTGAAAATATTTGATGTTTTCTTCAATAAATTGTTTTTAAAGATTAGTCTTTGCTAGTTGCTAGTTTAGACCAGTTCTTTACTGTATTGATGTACAAATAGAATTTTGGAAGAATTTTAGAATTGAAGGAAAAATGAAAAAATGTTATTACATCGACATTTATCCTTTTATGTATTTCAAAACAAGAATAATATAAAAGAAATAAATATTCATAAAAAAACCATTTGTTTTTACAAACGTATACAAACCTAAAATAACGTAAGAAATAAATTTCAAAGTATAAATATCGTATTTAGAACTGAATCTCTTGAAAATACTTGTGTAGAAGTAAAAATATTCACCATGATGTCGTTAAGATGCATACCCTTTTCATGCTGTCGGAAGGATTTTAGTCAGGGTTATGCACGCGACAAAAAATCCAAGTCGTCAGATTCGAAACCAGCAATATCCCTGAAGGCTGCGTTCGTGCTGCATGTTCGTACATCAGTGGATCCGTAACTGCTTCCTTCATCGGGATGCGAGCCGTGTAAACCACTCGCATACACGTGCGCATGTTGTGAGGGTAACCAAAGAGCTTGCTATGGGCGAGGTTAGCTGTCATGGAGCACTGCGCGACCGCGATTCTTAACGTCACATTATTCACGAAGAAGTTGGTTAGAGGCCACAAGATAACTTATACTGACTCGAATTTCTCCGTTGGGTTTACGATACTTATCGGACACGAATAGTGCTCGCTTGTCTTACTGTATGGCTCATGCTTCAACCTCGATGATTTTCTTCTAATCCAACGAGGACTTGACTATTTCATTCGTACGAATTTATGAAGTTGGTATTATGTGAAGTTCTTACGCGATTGGTTATCGCATGTATTATGAAATTATAATTTAATTCAGGATCAGCCATACTATAATAAGAAAGACAAAGATATTTATTTTTTTGTTATTCTAAAAAAATATTATAAAAAACAATTATAAAAATAATTATAAAAAGCATATGAAAGCTAGATCCGTTAATTATTTTCCAATAATGGATATCCAATACGTTTTCTAAATAAATACTGCTTTTTAAATGTTTTGTATATGATCTTTGAATAAACCAAGTAATCAAAGTATTACAGTGTTGAAATTGCTGAAACAATTAATTGTTGTAAGTATAAGATTCTGAAAGCTAGCGATATAGAAAGGTGAGTACGAATGATGATAAGTTTGTAGAACTATTTTTAGTAATTGTTCAAGATCTAGTTATGAATGTCAAGACTTTTTACTTTTTTGCTCATTTTATCTCTTGGGATAGACGTTTGTGCATGTTTCATTGTTTAAATTTATACCAAACTTTATAGTTCTCACAGGTACAAAAACGAATAGACGTAGGATTAGGAATAGTAACTGGTTCTTGGATACATTAATTTGAATTACAATGATGGAAATTACGAACTGGTTTCCCCCGCGAATTTTATTGGGCAGTGTAAATTATACGCAGCTTGTGTTTGCGCTCGTTCCTCCTATTTCCATCCTTTTTCCTCGCTCTCTGTTTCTTATCCGACGTTGCATAGCTTCGTAAACTTGTTCGAAGAGAAACGGAGTATCGAAAGGAGCTGGAATTTTAATTTGTCAGGGGGATGAAAGATTTTCAGTAAAGAGGACTGTTTATTGACTTTTTATTGGATAGGATAGTTGTTGTCATTCTCGTCCTCTAACCGTAGTCTATGTTTTTTATACCAATATTTATCGTTAGCTACATGGCATTTAATGTCGTATTTCAAAGTTTCTTGCATTTCGTTTTCATGTGCCTTTATAAAAATATATTATTTATAGTTGTATCAATTATGATGCTGAACAAAAGGTTATATTTTTCAGTATTTAAATTGTTTAAATATAAAATTCTATTCCGAAAAAAATTGCTTAAGAATAGTATATAATTTCATTATATAGTTATGTTGTATTACTAGTCTCTGTATCTTCACGTTCATAAAAAATAGTTGCTATGTAATTACTCGCATCATTAGGTGTCAGGTATTCATTTGAATGAACTTGAAGTAAATGTGCTCGAAGTTCCTTTGAAAAGTTTGTTTGAAACATTTCATCGCTTTTGCATGATTTGCACTGGTATACCATTTTACCCGGATGCAAATTTGTTGATAAAACATGTTTTCGAAGATTTTCCTAAAAAATCATATTATAGATTTCAATGTCTAATGGATTACATTATGTACTTATTTTTAAATTAATTAGAATTGGGTTAATATTATCTATTTATTAATATTAATAATTTAATTTCACAAAAAAATAGCATTTTATTAACAGTTAATAACAAATTTTGAAAACGTATGAAGTATACAGAGTAATTTAGCTAATAATAGTTAGACTGTATTGTTGTTATCACATTATATATTTTTGGTAAATAAAATATGTGCCATTAAATTTTGCATTATTATTTGATAAACATTTTATATTTATTTATTGAATATATTTGTCTTAATTCTTTGTTTTAATTTACTTACTAATAATTTGATCTGATTCTATTTTTAATTTTGTACTTGAGTTCTTTATATCAATTACGATATTCTAGATAATATTATATGCATAGATATATATAATTTTGTATCTAAATTTATCAATTTCAAATAAATAATCTATGATTTGAAAAACTTGTTAAAGAAATAATTAAAGGGAATTTTTTGTTGTAAACATTGATATATTTAATAATAATATATGAACAACCAAAATTAAATACATTATTTAAAGTATTATAATATACAATAGAGTTTTTATCAGTTAGATATCTTCGAAAAGCAACAATGTTTTAACAAACTGAATATTCTTATTTTTTTATCATCACAAATAAAAATATTCTTTATGTTTAATAATAGAGTTGTAAATATTAAACACAGGAAGCATTTTTCGTGTACTTAAGGATTTCAAATATCTATAAAAAGATTAAATTTTCCATTTCACATCTATAAAATAGATGAATTACTGAGTGATGTAATTTTAAATTGAATAACTTAGATAGAGGATACTACAGTATATAAAAGATATTTTTCAGAAGTCATCGCTTGAATATATGTCAATAAAGCCAAAATATTCATTGATTAGGATGTAAAAATATGGTACTTGATACAAATGGTAGAAGATCTTTTCTGATGGATAAAAAGGGAGTTTAGTTTCCATGTGTCTCGCTGTAGTTATAAATATTGCTGAAGGATTTTGGTTTTATGTTGATAGTCGTAGCATACAACAAATTTAATTATATAATGTTTCATATTTTTTTTTATACTAGTGTGTTGTGTACGTTGCCTTTTTAAACGTTCCTATTCCATTCTCAATATTTTTGTAACTTCGTCTCTTTATGTGTAATTATTATGAAATACTATAACTACATTTTTAAACAGTTTTGAGCTTCACATAGTTTTATTTATATATGATTTATATATTCTATTTATATATGATTAATATTTTATTTGATTTTTGATTTATTTTAATTTAACTGAAAAATTCATTGTGTGTAATAAAAAATTTGAATTTATTATATAAACATCTTTTGTTAATTCTAAATGTATACATATTTTTATTAAAAATGTTCTATGAAACTATATTCCTTGTTTTCAAGGATAATATACTAATTTGAATAAATATATTCACGGACATCCATTTTAATTTTGTATTTGAATTAAAAATCTAATATTTTCTATTTAATATAAAGCTTTTTATTAATGTAATTTGAAAAATGAAAAACGAAAGTCATTAAATTTATTTGACTTTGGCTCATTATAAATAAATTAATTTTATTTATTATATTGATTATTTGCTTATATTTATCTATTATTTATACAGTTACTTATTTATTGATTATGGGTAAAAATCGTGAATTTTAATATACAATTATACTAATAATTTTTACAATAATAAACATTGTTATCGTTTATATAATTTTGGAATCTTTTTATATAATATATTAATATTCAAGTAATTAATTGATTTCTCAATAACTAGTGAAAGACAATAATCTTAAAAATTTGCTTATGAATTGCATATTGCGTACTTGGCACAAAGTTGAGATAGATGCAATATTGAGAGCCACTGGAATAAGTTTACGTGACGCACTATTGCAGCGACACCGAGGCTTTGACGATGGCTTTAAAAAGCATTAGCATACCTGCGTTGGTGTCATGGTCGACGAAACCCTCGCATGAATCTATCCCTGCACAAACTCGGCACTGTATCCATGTATTTAAGCATCCAGTGAGTACAATTAACTCGTTATCTTATCGTAACGACGATGACGACGACGGCGGCGGCGGTGATTCTTCGAGTCCGAAAACATTAAGGCGTATATGCCTTGCTTAATTTACACCCTAAAATAAAAATCGCAAAACATCCGACATTCCCCTTACCTCTTTGAGAATCGAGGGAGCGAAGAAGAAACAAAATGTAAAAAAGAGGATCACGTGTATACGTGTGCGACCACCGGCGCGAAATGCGTCTGCATATATACGTATATCATGACTCCAGAATTACCTCTCCTCTTCTTTCTCCGATCTTCCTTGCATCTTTTTTTCTTTGAACTTTACTGTGCTTGTATGCGCGAGAGCGCTGACAGCTTTATGCTGATGAACGAAACAGGTGTGTCAAGCTTTGAGTTGAACGAGCCGATAATGCTATGAAAAGAACGAACAGCAAGATAATCGTTTTATATCGTAGCTTTCGATGCACGATGTAACGCTGCTGTGCAAAATTCATAATTTCGCAGATTTTATGGTGATGCAGTTAACCATTTCAATTCTCTATATAGTTGGCAATATCTTTTAGAAGGTTATCATCGTGAAGATCGGCCAGATACGTGTTGGAGATAACTGCAGCCCCTGATGGTCATTACTTTGTTTCTTAATGAATATGTTACTTGCCAATGATATTACGTAGAATTATTGTTTGAGTTTAATAGTTTTTTCTGAGTTTTATGGAAATTGAAGGAAGAGACTGCTGTTAAAGATAAACATACGTGTTTTTAATCTTGAAAAATGTTATATTTCTTATATGCTTATCAAATTGAGAAAATGATTTCTTCGCTTATAATATTTTTTCAACACAGTAGAAATATGAAATTTCTTCATTTTTTCATATTGTCGAAATATTATATAAGAACTCAATAATTCTTAATTTCTATATATCAGAATAATAAAAGTTGCATGAGAATTCACACTAATACGAGTTCTCTCATAAGGCATTCAAAAATATATTATCAAATTATAAAGAGTTTAGTTTATATATACCGAAAAAGAATTTTCTATTAATAAATAGGTATCTCAGTAAAATAGAATAAAATTCAAATATTATTAAAGCTTTTATATTTATTACCGTATTGAATCGCGGATTGCTTTATTGTAAAATGAGAGAAAGATAGGACTGATTATTTGCACGGAAATAAGGCGGTACATTGTAATGGTCTCACATATACTAGGGCGGTCATCAATGTACATTCTCTCTTTTTCTTGCTCTCAGGTTAATCTAAAAGCGGCTACCACTTCGCTGTAGGTCCGACGACCGCTGATTCTTTCTTTTCATTTTTTAAGAATGAAAACCCAAGAGCATTCCGATAAGGTTAATCAGCGTTTGGATTCGAGATTTATGTGAAGGCAGTCTTTCAACGCTGACCTGACCGACGCGCGTCCACTGAAGAATTCGTGTTTTTAAAAAGAATTTCCAGCCAGCCACAATTTAGACTGGTTTTTTCCTTCATTGAAGACTTCTGTTACTTGACAGACTTTATTGGTTTATAAAGTTTTCTAATCAGTTTTTAAAATTATTGATTTTTTATAAACTAATATATATTTTGCTTACTTTTTATTTAAAACACATTTATAATTAATAAGAGAAAAAATTAAATATTTAATAGAGATTGTTTGATTATAGTACTTTTTCTATAATATAGAATATAAATTTCATATTTTCTTAAAATTTTAAAACATATGTTTAAAACATTTTATTTCGTTGTCAATTTTAAATATTAAAAACGTATATGTATACTTTACCAAATTATTACTTGCATAAGTGCAATGACGACACTTGTATGGTTTTTTTCCAGTATGTAAACGATTATGGCGCTTCAAATGAGAATTAATTATTGTTTGAAAATTACAATTAATATATTGACATGAGTATTGCCGTGTATTGCTTTCTGTATGTACATTCTGATGCCTCTTCTGATGTCTAAGATAAAAAATATGTTAAATGTTAATTAATTAGTTGTATATAAAATCTATGCAATAATAATATCTAAATCGCTTATGTTTATAAATACATATATTATTATTTTAGTGATGTAAATTAAATATATCAATGTTAATAAATTACTTACGAATAATTAAAAAATTTTTGTATATTCATTAAGAAGAAATTTCACTGTCTTGTATTAATTGTTAAATTTTTATTTATACAATATTATTTATTACTGTTAATTAATAATTAAACGATGAGATCAAAGCAAAATTAAAAACTCTTAGCTTAATTATTGATTGAGAGCGAAGCAAATGTAGATGCAAATAATGTTTGCTAAATCAGCAATGGTGCTTAGAAATTAGTTAGATAAATAAATTTATCAAACAGTTTCAATTGCCAGGATAATTATAATGATTATAGACGCATACGAATGATTATTGACCGTAAAATTAATTGTTATATCCAAACGAAAAGAAGGATAGACGATTACTGATTATGGCTGATGCTATTAGGCATGTGCCAAATTACTATCTCTTCGAACTCTTCCGAGCATTGATGCAAGTGGCTCGCATAGTACTAGTTCTAATTTCTATCAGTTTCAAAATGCATGACACGTTTATAAAAAAACCCTGTGTGATTTACTCTTGGTTGAGTTTATTTCTGTATTGGGGTGTGACTTGTTCAGAAAATGGCTAAGGCCGGCTGACCAGAAAGAAGAAAAAAAAATAATCAGAAAATGTCATAGATCAGGTTCAGTAAATAAATTATAATAAATTTGTTTATTCGATATTTATGTGATCATTATTTAACTTTTCGCCTTTTGTTATATTCTTATACTAAGCCTCCAAATGTGATTTTGCAACTTTAGATATTGAAATTTGTATATACTGAAATGTTTTAATTTTATTATAATTATTACTACTTATTTTATTATTTTCAATTTTATATTAATAAGGCTTTATTCAATTTTAAAACAGAAGATTCAACTCAATGTTTGAATGAAATCAATCAATTCAAATAATAAAATTCATTTCAATCTATTATCATTCAAGCAAATTTAATTTTATAAACAATATATGCTAGCAATAACAAATACAGAACATATATATTTTTAATTAAGTCAAATAGCTGTTTAGAAGAATATCGCAAAAACTTTGTTTTAATTATCATTCAATATGGTTTTAAAATAATAAATAATTTATTATAATTACTTAATTTATCCTATAGAATATATAATTTAATTTTATTAATTTTATATCATTTATGCTGTATTGTATGAATTGTATGAATTGTATGAATTGTATGAAAGACATAAGTCTTCTAATATAAAATATAAAATATTAATAAAATGATTTATAAATGATAATATTAAATTTTTTTGTTTCTATAGTTTTAGTTTTAATAAATTAAAAATTGTTTTATTAGAACAATTATTTAGTTCTAAAAACTGCAAATTATTACAGGAAGAATAATTTATGTATTACACTGTAATTATAATAATTGAATGTAATCAACTACATAGGTGATAATATTTACATTTAAGCATAAAATTCTGATTACATTTTGAATAGCCCGGTGTACAAATTTTGTATAAAAAATTCTAATTATAATCATATAATTATAATAATGTATTAATACAGTGAGTATTATCATGAACCTTTGTAATAACATATACTTATTTCATAATTTTCCGCATAATTCCCACATTTACTGTATTTTTTCGATTTTATTTTATGTTTTATATTTTCGCTTTTTTTCTTTTTCACTTTTCATTTATTTCGTGATTTAAAGAGTACGGTAGGAACGCAGCTGAAGAGTAAAATAGTGGACAGTAAAACATAGGGTCACTTAATTGCTAGAAAATTGAAAACCACTGTACTATGTTTAAATGTAGTGCGAGTATCAAGAGATGAGTTCAGAAATTGTGTATTTTCGTTTTCAAACTTTTATTCATTCTTGTATGCATAACGCGATTATATTAAATTATATATTTAACTATATTTAAAACGAATATTTAATAATAATTGAAATGAATATAAATAAATTTTAATATATTTTTTATCTATTTACATTTTACAAATTCTTATTTGCTTTTAACAAACAGTTTTCTTGGATATATATCTAAATTATTCATTAATTGATATATATGAGAAGAAATTATTTTTAAACGATAAGGATGTTAAAATTTAATTCTTTTAATAAACAGAACAGTAAATTTATTTATAATTAAAATTTTTTATAAGTGTAGAGGTAAATTTTTTAAAAATATTAATCTTCAATATATTTTTAAAACGATAACGTAAATTAATGTAATTTATAATTTCTTAAATAATCATGAAAATATTGAAAATTAATATGAATAGATCAAAGTATCCTATAAAGAAAAGTATACATTTTATTTACAGAGATTATATATTATGTTTTAGCTTCCTATCCATACACTAAAATATTATGCATCTTTTCTGATTTTTTTTTCTTGCACTGAATTATGAAATGAAAATGTATCTATGCAGACGATTGCTCAGCGAATTTATCATTAGAAAGAGAGGTCAGTGTGTCACCAGTTTCTATACAAAAATTATTGTACCAGTATTGATAGCAATTATCATACATACAGATGAGATATATAGCTGCCAATTTATGGTAGTCCACTCTATGCACGTGTAAAGGGCTATAACGCGCATCCGTTGTACGGTGCAGGTGTACGTACCTGATGTGCGGGCACAAGGTATGAGTTATAAGTGCCATTAAAAATGATTCCTTCACTCTAGTTACTCCTTTGCTTCTCATGGATAATTAAATCCATTGAGTAAATGTAATTCAGTTGGATTAAATTTTTCTTCCTGCTGTTACAATGTATCAGACGAAGGCGGTAGAATGGTTATAGTGTATATCATCTTTAGGATTGTAAATACGTTTAGTATGCTCCAGAAAGAATGCTAATTTTATTTTAAGTGATGGTTTATGATAAATTTTAATGGTTATAAATGATTGATAGTTAATTAATATCATTATGCTTGCCAAAGCTAATATATTTATAGAAATTATAAGTACTATAATTTCTTTATATCTCGTTAAGTTTTATAAATACAAACTAGTGTAAAAATAAGTGTGAAATAATCTTTCAATTACATACATGTTATACAAATAATATATTACATTTGTTGTTATGATAATGTGTAGGAAACTATTTTTAATATAATTTTAAAATTCTTATATAAATAATGATTTGAATGTATCAGCTATTAATTCATTGCAAGAATTATATTGTAATATACACAAACTAAATTTTAAAGATTTCTTTATAAATTGTATATATTTCTTATTTATTTTAATAGGATAAATAATGTATTTAATAGCATCATCGACCTGGAGAATTTATTTTAAATATTTCAAAAAATGTATAGTCATAAATCATCAATCAAAACAAATAAAAAAATTAGTTCATACAATAATATTTTATAATTATTTTATTATCACATTTGTATATTAATAGAGAAAATTATAGAAATCGATTACATATATAATAAAATACTATATTTAAAAAGAGAAATATTTTTAAATGCTTATTATGTTATCTTTATGTATTACTAAAGACTAGTATCAATAATTAAAACTAAGAAACTTTGTTTATATCTAGGTTATAAATAATGTAACTACAATAAATATAAAGAAAAATTGTATGTGAGTAAAAAAAGAATACAAAAAAAGTATATCAGCAAAGAGAAACTTTTAATTTAAAAATGAATAATTTTAAATAAATAATTTTAAATAAATTAACATAAGAAATGTTAATGTATAAATTTTCCTTAGAATTCTTTCTCTGGCTATCATTCTTCTTTTTTTTATTGACTATTTATTCAATTCTTTATTTCGTATATTGAATAGTTATTAATTTTGTCATTTATGACAGTCAAACTTTCTATAATTTGACTATTTCTTTCGATATTAATTGATTTATCTTTTAATATTTTACTTATTAAGATTTTTAATTGATCGTAGACTAATACAATAATATTCAAACATATCTTTATAAATAAACTAAAAAATGTATAAATTATCTAATTTAATTAGTTTTTCATAATATGTATTATATTCTATAATAATTTTTTAGTTTTTAATATAATTAATGTTAATAATAAAAGAATTAATTTCTATTTTTAAAAGTTTAAAAAACTTTTAATAAAATAAATCAATATTATAATATGAAAATTATTTTAAATTACCTAGAAAGTTGATTTTTAGTTTTTGCAGCGTAAGAACAATCGTTGCATCGAAAGTCTCGGTTAGAATTTGAAGTTTCGTGAACAAGTTTACGATGATTTTTTAATTCAGTCTCAGTACGAAGAATTGTTGGACAGCCAGGAAGTCCACATTTGTATTGTTTTCCGGCATGCCGTAACATATGCTGCCGTAAAGTATGCCTATTACATAATTGAAAGAAATTATTTCAACAATATTGTACATAAGTGACGAATTTTGCTGTAATTTTCATATTTTAATATCTAAAAAATTAAAAAAACTATGTTATTTTCATATAAAATTGTATCATAAATAATTAATCCTATTTGATTGCTTTTCAAATAATAACAAATATGATTTTAAAATTTAAATAAATTTAAATTATAATATTTATAAATCAGTAATATACTACAACTATTATCCATATAAATAATTTATTGTGAAATTTATGGTAAATTATTTTTAGTTTGATATACAGTACATTATCACAATATTTTAGTTCTCGTATCCTTATGAAATAAAATATGATAATACTAAAATAATAAGTTATTGAAAATTTTATTAGTATGTATATCTTTAACGTTTTTAATACTTCATAATATTTATAGTTCATGATTTGTGTATTTTTTACTTAAAATTAATTTTAATGAAAATATATAAAAAAACTATACTTTTCAAAAATCTCAGTTCTGCATATAAAATAAATTCTTTATAAATAATATTATTATAAATAATAATTTGAAACGGCAATTATGAAAATAAAGTTTGTATATTCACATAATATCAATAACAAAATATATATCTCTCTAAGCAAACTTTATATTTCATGTATTATATATTGATGAATAATAAGCTTCAATTTTTTTTTCTTTAATAATAAAAAATAATTTAATTTTGTCCCTGAAATCGCAAGTTTGCCAGGTGCATATAGTCTTGTACTGGAACATCGAGCTCGGCATTGACCGCGACCAGCAACGCTTACAGAAGGTCCTTGTAAGATTGCAAAAGCATTTTTTCTTCTCTCTTAGTAGCAACAGTAGTAGTAGCAGCAGCAGCGTTAAGCACGATTTATAGTACAGTGAAGAATGCTGCAAACAAAAGGGCATCTGGCTTTTTTTCGATAGCTCCTACTGGCTACCGAGAAATCTTGCGCGAGCTCATATCGAAAGCAAGGAAGGGAGAAGAGAGAAGAAAGGACGCCGAGAGAGAGGTGGACATGGCTCGTAAGGACACACAGCATATATAAACGAACGATAAAAAGGGTGAGGGGGTGGGCGTAGGAGCGCGGCAGACCGTATGGTTTGTGGTGGAGGGAAACGCACTGGCGAAAGATCTGGGCCGTCCTCTCCTGAACGGCCGGAGCCGGGCCGCAATTGGCCGCGCAAGTGTAACGCTGCGATTTTACATTGTAAGGACGCCCGCCCTCACATGAGAAATCACAAGAAGCAACGGGGAGAGTAGGCCCGCCGCTCGACTCTTCTTATCTGTCCAACCAAGCGAACGACTGCTCTGTTATGAATACGTGTACCAGTACACCATACAATATGGGCCTTGGCAAATTTGAAATCCTTGAAAGAATGATCTTTTTTATCACGATAAAAACAAAGCAGTTCAAGCTTGCTCAAGTTAACTTTGAATTTAAAAACGCATTGGAAAAATATGATAATACTTTTCTCAGTCCAGTGCTTATTGTTAATGATTCAGTACCAGTTGAAGTGATTTTACGACAGAATAGTGTTTAACAAAAGGTGATACTGGGCAAATCTGTGCATGGTTGAAACCTTTTAAATTTTAGAATAGTATATGATAATTGCTACATATAAGAACACATTTAGCATTGCAAACATTTTCTATGAATCTTAATTAATTTAAAAAAATTTATTCACAAACAACACGAACGAACAATTTGTATAAAGTATACAATTTACATGTTAGTAGAGCATTTAACTCTTTAGAAAAATGTATAAAGTTTTTATCGTACAAAAAAGTTGTTTTAATAGGCGAGTTTAAAAATATTCTATTATACCATTTCATATATATACATATATATATACATATAATAAGTAAATTTAAGTAAAAATACCAATTTTTAGTAATTTAAAGAATATTTTATAAAAAATTGAAATTGTAAGTTATAAATAATAAAAATATGTGAATGATACTATTTATAATAATATTAAAAATTATAATTATTAGTTACTTGTAATTTTATTTTATCTGTAGCTAATCCTTTAAATTTATAAAAATTTATATTTTTAATACGTGGTGTGCAAAATGGATAAAGTATAATATTTATAATGATTTATAGAATCCGTAAAAAAACAAGCAACCGCAAGAAGTAAATTATTACTGTTATTGTCAATGCCTTTTTAAATTAATAAATATATATATATTGTGATTAGTAATTATTCATAGTAAATAGAAAAAAATAATTGTGAAAATTTATCAATAAATACCGACTCTATAAAGGCTAAAAAATACGTAGGGTAAAAATTTATATTAAATTTGATACTTCAATAGTTATTTACAAGATTTATAAAAATTTGACTTTTATTCAAATAGCACGTAATTTTGGTAATAATATATATTTATAAAGTAAAAATAAAAATCTAACAAAAAATATGTCAGTTTTTTTAATTTCAATATTAAATATAAATAAATTATACATTAATAATATTATCTGATATAATCAAAGGAAAGGATAAACAAAGAAATAGGGTTTTTAACTAGTCTTTTTGAAGACTCATGTTTATCAATTTCGTTAAGCTGATAGAATTTTGCCTGAAAGTTAAATTTATATTATTTATGCGATGTGAGATTTAAACAGAACTTTCAAAATTCGATTAATCGTATCGGTACGACGTTTGTTTTTGGGAATTTTCCTGTTGTACAGACAAGCAAATAAAATTGCATGCAATTGAGAAAAACGGGATGCCATAAACTACTGCAACTTATCTGTGTGAGCATCGTCTTTCCATAAAGTGCTCATTTGTCCTTATCAATCCTGGTTCATAAAAAAAGGCTAACGTTGCCTGGATCGAACTAGTGCCATTAAATACTTCATTCTTAATCAGTTTCAATTATATATTCTGTAGCTACCAACGACTGATTCGTTATAACATTCGTCAATATAAGTGTAAAAGGTTTGGCCTAAGATTTGTAAAGGAATACAAATTTACATATATATAGATAGATAGATAGATAGATAGATAAATAGATAGATAGATAGATAGGAGAGCGAGAGAACGGGAGGGGGAGGGCAGATAATATACTAAAGTAAGGAAAAAACTGGTTTCTATCTTACTCTCTCTCTCTCTCTCTCTCGCTCTCTACTTCTTTGAGTAAGTAATACTATTCTATGCGAGATGGCCGCAACTTTACCTAATACGCCATTATAAATATTCAAGTAAAACGATAGCTGTGATTTACTTAATGAACATGAATCTAAACAACATAGTATAAGTGCGAAATCCACACATGGAAGAGCTTAAATGTCGTTTTATTTTTATATGGTATAAGAAAAACATACCATAAACATTCAGAATTGTACATAAAAGAGTATTATATTTATTCAAACCATTCAGTTAACCATTAAAATTCAATATATATAAACTATTGAGTTGATTTGATTATTTATCATTAATTGATGTTATTATAGTATATTAATAAACAAAATATATTTAAAAACTATATTTAATTCAATTTAGCTTTATAAATAGCAATAAATTATTATAACATTAAATCTAATTAAATTAATCAAGTAGAATTCCTGGAGTCACTTATATTATGTAGATACCAAATAAATTCTAACTTCTAAATAAAAGATTCATTAAGATTCATTTTAAGCGTATGCAAAGACATATTATTGTTAGATGTTACTATGTCGATTCACAATTGGAATGATAAAACAAATGCTATGGGATTTATGCACGTATGTTACACGAGCGTTCTGATGTCTAAAACTGGTGACTTATGTGTACGGTCGTACTCTAATATACGTCCGTTAAGACTCCGGGTGAGCGGTCAAGAAGAGTTGTAATGGGGAAAGAAAGAGAGCACACAATGATGGAGATGTTTAGATTATATCGATTCGGATTTGAACTTTTTGCTTTCTGGATTTCAGTACTTTATAGATATTGGGAATATATATATGAGTGTAACAACTTTTTGATGTCAGTATATTCCCACGAAGCAAAAACTGTATTTTCTTTACAATATTTTGAGTCCTTATAATATTAGAGATTTTTACGAATCGAAATTTAGTATTTATTATTATAATAACGAAAGCATTTATAGAAATAATTATTGAAAATGAACTGAGATTTTAATGATTTTAGTCATCTTTAAGCCGAATAATTTTAACTTACTTTTTTTTTTTACTTAAATCACTTTTTAATATCGATTTAGAACTTACAAAGATATTGTCTATTATTAAAAGTTGATATCATGTAGACATTATTATAGGTAGTTCAAAACATTTAAACTTTTGTTAATGTATTTAAGTAAAAAATTAATTTATATTTGTTGTTAAAAGAAACTACTCATAAAATATTGGAGTATAATATTTATTATTTTCAATTACCTAGAAATAATTACAAGTTTCCATTTACATTGTTTTATATTGAAACAAACATTTAAAAAACTTTATTAGTTAGTTTTTAAATTTTGTTAATAGATTGTAAATTATTTGACATTTCTAAACATTTTACATCGCATATATGTTTATATTGCACAAAAGTGATTTTAAAAATATTTAAAACTAATTTTAAAAATATTTTACTGAAACATTTAACTTATTAATAAAAATTTTATATACAAATTAATTTATGATAAAATATAGCAACATATAATATTATTAATAAATAGTATTTTTAATTAGTAATTATGTTAATTACTATTCCTAGAAATAAAGAAAATTTTAGAAAAATGAATTAATTGTAAATACTTAATAGATATTGTAATATAAACATATAAAAATAAGTACTAACTATTGAATATAATTAAATTCATCTTTTTTTACGCAGTTTTATGAATACTAATTTTTTTAAATAATATGTTTTCAAAATATTTAAAAAAAATAGTAATTATAAATTGACATCAATACAGTGTGGTAATTTAGAAAATCATTATTAAAATTTCATTTAGAACAATACAAACGTATATATGAAATTTTATAGTATAT